ATGAGGGAGAACAACACCACCTTCGTCGTAGCATCATAGCACCAAAAGTAATTCACCTAAAACGTGGATGTCCCGTGATGCTGCTGAGAAATTTATCCAAAGAGCTGGTCAATGGGTCACTGGGCAGAGTTGTGGATTTTGGTGAAGAAGGACCTGTGATTCACTTTGTAGATAGTGACAAGATAATGGAAGTTAAGCGGATGCAGTTTTCAGGTAAAAGCGTATTCCTAGTAATGGATTTAACAAAAATTATGATTAATTTGCATGAGAGCTGACTTTCGTATAGCTATACTTAATTTCTTTACTATGTTGCATGGGAAATTTCAAGGCTAACATGGCACAGCATTCATTTTCTTTTTTTCATAATCATCAACACCAGAGTTGAAAAAATGACACTTTAGGCCCCACATTTCGACTTTAGTAAATTAACTTTTGCCTTCTTTTTTGGCAACACAATTATCATTTTAATTAGAAGGAAATAACGCTATCATAGCACCTAAAGGTACTAAAGGTATACTGCAGTACAGTGATTCTCATAGTGAATAAATAATTTATTCTTTCAGTTTACAACCCCCAACTGAAGGCAAACATCGCCAACCGCAGTCAAATCCCAATAAAACCTGCCTTTGGTTTGACTGTTCACAAAAGCCAAGGGATGACTTTGAAGTACGTCATGGTGGACTGCCACATGATAAATCGCCCAGGTCAACTTGGGGTTTCTCTTGGAAGGGCCCAGACCATCGCTGGACTGCAAGTTTTACACTTTCATCGATCTTGCTGCATCACACAGCCTGAAACGGTTCGGCAGTTTTACGCAAATGTCGAAAAAGAAGACGGGGCTGCTCGGCCAGTACTTGCTGACACTTCTTGTTGTAGGACTTCCTCTGACATGGTAATTTCTACAGAACAGGCAACAGTTCCTGCCGAACTTGAGGACTACTACCAGGACAGTGATAACGACTGTGACCTCTCAGATGATGATATGCAGGAGATAGATGGAACAATTGAGTCACAGGTTGTCACTGAAGAGGTATATACACTTCCTGCTGGGTTTGATGTGCCAGCATTACTCAAGTCCGTCAAGTACAGTCCTTGCCACACACAGTACCAGCAGAACATCAACTCTCTGCTAACTATTTGGGAACAATCTCCTGCGTTCCCTAAGTTCCTGGCATGGGAGAAGAGAAAAGTGTGTGCTATTGTGTCAGCACATACTGCCCCTGGTGTGCAGTTAGCACAGAGAGAGCAAACAGCTATGTATGCTGCATTTGCCTCCCACATGCAATCTTCCGAACACAAGACAAAATGCCAGCAACTCTTCTCATCAGGCACAAACACACCAGAAGCAGAGGCCTACAATGCAGTTTACCGGGTGCTTGTAGAACTGCGAAGAAGGGAGATCAGTGCCATGGCCCAAACAATGCAAGCAGAGTCAAGGACTTCTGGGCAAGGTATGTATATTGTCTGACTTTCCTGGGTAATTATCTACTGAGGATACATGTACACTAAATAAGCAATAATGAATCTTAACACGTTGAGAAAAAAGTATTGGAGAACTAATTTAAATGAATTAAGATAAAAGCTAAGTTTCTTACTTACTGATCGTCACCGTCATCAGCAAGAGTCTTGTTTTTAGTCTGATGTATCCCTGGACTCAAAGGCACCCTAGTTGAGTTGTAATGTTCCTTTTGTGCTGATTTTCAGTTGTGAGAAGACTTCCCAGTGAAAAGGAATTGACGGATGGTGGGAAAGGCAAAATCAGGTACATCGGTGGATTCTGTTTGGCCAAGATACGGTACAAGTTCCAGCAGCAGACCAGTCGTCTTGTCTTCCAGTTAGATGGGCGACTTAGGGAAAGAATGAGACGGGCACATCAGAAGGTCTTGCTGCTATCGATGCTGACACTGACAGAGGCACAGGCTCAACTAATTTCTCAGGATAAGGGCAGCCTCGGAGAAACATCAAGAAGACAAAATCTGTCACAAGGTCTGACCCACATTTCAGACAGTACATACAGGTTCTTCTTTGACCTATGCAACTCTGTGATACATCTGCAAACTCCGTCAAATTTGCAACAGTATGGGGAAGGCTTGGGTGACTTTGTCCTCACCAATGTTCAAGATGATGGGGAAGGGATGATGGGGAAATTGTTGAGGGAGAACTTCAATGATCTCTTCTCTGATAGTGAGGACCATGATCCTGCAATGATAAGGGAATTGTATGATGACATTACAAGCCTCTTTTGCAGAGTAATGATTAAGCAGTTCCGCAAGGACTACCTTGCATCAGTTCAGAAAAAGAAAGGCCTGGCACATCGTAAAAAGGTAATAGTTGGGGATAAAAGGGGCCAGAAGGGTACCTCAATTGGTGCTACGAAGGGTGTCAGTTCAGGGTCTGTGGTGTCATTCGATGACATCATGAGTGATCAGACGCCTGACAAGTCTGATACACACACATCACTGAAAACTTTAGCAGAACACAACCAACTTTCTCAAATAAAAATAAAAAAAGTTCAACTGCAGACACTGTGTAGAGCATACGCGGTCATTTACAAGAGCCAGGACACTGTCTCTGTCCTGATAAATAAACTTCAGGAAAGAATAAAGGTGTGTTCTTGTATGAACAATGTAAGTGTGCTTGGCGGTGTGAGCCAGACTGAGAGAAGAGGGAGCAAACGAAAGGCTGACAGTGATTTTCAGAACACATGCCGTGAGTGTCAGCAGTCATACAAGGGTAATGATGAAGAAGAGCCTTGGATACAATGTGACGTGTGTAAGAGATGGTTTCATCGGACCTGTGCAGAAATCTATGATGATGAGGAATGGTATCAGTACACGGAGAATGAATCACGTTTTGTCTGTAGTTATTGTTGAATGTTCTTCTTTCATATGCCCCAGGGCTGTCTATCTTCCAGAGCTCATCCACTTCTGTTGAGACACATATTGAGAAGTCTTGATGCAGCTCTTCTGATAGCTTACAATCGTTTGATTTTCTGTTACCAGAGTAAGCTAATGTCTAAGCACAGAGATATTACCTTATATTGTGTTTGTGATGTCTTGACATTGTTTCCTCTTGGATTTTGGGACAAGCGGTTCTGGCGATGAAAATGAATATGGTTCAGCTGCTCTTTTCCAAGCGTTGCCCTTCTTGGATCTTGTTGTTGATACGGTACCTTGACCCAAGATTATACTGTTCATTGTAGATTTGTATTGACTGTACGTGGGATTAGTGTTGCTACCATTATGCAGCCCTCTCTGCTGACAGAAGTTGTTCTCAATGACATCACTGTTAATCCGGCTTGGATTCACTGAGTGGAAGTCAGGTGCCTTGAACCTAAATAAAGTAAGAAATCATGTCAGCCTTAAGATGACAAATAAATGGTTGCCCTCTATATTGCACGTGAAAGAAAGCGATAGGTTTGCTCTAGTAGCTCGAGTGTATCCAAATAGTGTATATTTTTTAGCTACTTTATGTCTAAGAAACACGCAATTTTGGCTGAAAAAGTAAAGGTGTTTGCATTTTGGCATCCATGCATTTCAGATGATTTCAAGTTACTCACAGATGTAGTAACATCAAGGCATCTGTATGATGCATGTTCAGACCTACCTGTCTTTGCACAGGGAAATAAATCCCAGAATAGAAGAATCCAGGTCGTTACGGGTTTCAGATGACATGAGGCTTGCCCGCTGGTCTTTTCTGGACATTCCACTGGAGGTGACAGCTTCCTCCCACTTTTCAAACCACGCTTGCACACATTGTAGCTGCCCAAGACGTTCGTCTGTTGCCTGCATAATTGGCCGCCTGTCATTGAATATTGAGACCAATACTGACGTTTGCTTCAGCAACTCAATAGCAGCGTCGAGTTTGTGGCCATGATCGCCAAGACTTTCCTTGTATTCCATCATGAGCTGGAGCATGTCTGCATTAAGGCATTCCTCAGCCAAGTGGTTTCTCATTTTACTTGCCCCATCTAAATGAATGTGGTTGTGCGTTAGGTGATTGTGTATCTGGCAAGGATTTTTACAGTCCCATTCATAGGCCTCTTGCCACAGTGACCAGGTCATTTTAGTGTCATCAACGTTCAGACACCTCGTTCCATCATCACTCGCACTACTGTTCAGAATGTTGTTTCTGATTTTCTTTAGGGAATGTTTGATGTCCATGATGAAATGAACGCTATGCGTTGGATTTACAAGACTGGTTGCCCTGTAATTAGTGTGCTTAGCAGATACGTTCTGAAAATTCATATTAAGAAACTGCCGATTTGTGATTGCCCCATCTAAATTTACGTAGTCTGTCACAAAGCCATAGCTCTCGAGAATTGCGACAGCATCCCAGAATAAGATGAATAATTCTGTTGCTGTTGCTCCTCGCGTTGGGTTGTGGGCAAATGGGAACCTAAAACCNTATATTGCATGCTGATGCTATGCAGTATATTGCATGCTGATGCTATGCAGTATATTGCATATGCTGATGCTATGCAGTGTCGCATGCAGATATGGTCGGTCGTGACCTTTTGCTTGCATGGTCTTTGGTTACGAATTCGATCATTAATAAAAACACCATTTCTCTCTCACTCTCTCTCTC